TATAGGTTCCTAGCGATACAATTGAATAAGAGGAACATCCTCTTTAGGTGGATCCTACCGGAAGGTATGCTGATTACTTGGCAAGGGAAAAAAATTAAAATAGACAGCCTTATCACAGCACAAGACTTTCTAGACCAACTGAGAGGAGCGGAGGAAGATCAAAGTAGCAAAGAAGAGTTGGAGGTAATAGTACAAGAAGAAGAGAACACATATCAACAGAAGTCTAAAGAGGGAACACCGGAGGAAAAGGAGACAGAAGAAAAGGATCTTAAAGAGACAAAGGGGAAGAAACCAAGACCGCAAAGAACTACACACGCAAATAAGAACTAAAGCAGCGTAGAAGAACTAAAAAATGGAGGGATGGAAAATAATATCAGTCAATGTCAATGGACTAAACGACAATAGAAAGAGAAAACAACTGTTCATAAAATTAGCAAAACAAAATGCAGATATAATATGCCTTCAGGAGGTCCACATAAAAAAAGAAGATGGGAAATATTTAGACTACAATAAATTTGGACAAACTTTCACATCATTAGCGGGGGAGAAAGAGGGGAGTAGTACTATATGTTAAGAAAGGGATAGCAGCTGAGTTAAAATATACCGATACCAAAGGGAGAACGTTAGCAGTTGAGATAAAAAGGGGGAATCTACCAATACTAATGGTAGCTATTTATGCCCCAAACAAAAACTTGGGAGAATATTATAAAAAATTAGGCGAGAAAATAAGCAAAATGGGACATAGCAAGATTTGTATAATTGGCGACTTTAATGGAATCGTAAACCCAGATAAAGACTACAAGAGTAACAAAGACAAAAAGAAAAAGAGAAATAAGCTACCAAAAGCCTTCTTCCAATTGGTGGATGTAGTGGATATATGGCAGACCCTACATCCGAATAAGAAACAATATACTTTTTATTCAAATCCCCAAAAATCTTGGTCAAGGATTGACATGATGTGGGTCAGTAGGAACCTGGGGATGGAAATTGACTCAGCAGAAATAACACCAAATATATGGGCAGACCATAATCCCTTAGAGATAAAATGGGTAAATTTACAGAGGAAGAAGCAGAAGAGATGGAGGCTAAATACCCAATTTTTGAGGGATAAGGAATACACCCAAAAAATTAAGGGAGAGCTAAAACTATTTTTCGAGGAAAATGAAAATCAAGACCTGCCCCGAACAACTGTATGGGACACGATGAAGGCGTATTTAAGAGGGCTGGTAATATCTCACAGTATATATAAAAACAAAGAAAAAAGGAAAAACAGAAAGAACTTGTAGAGAGACTAGGAGAAGCAGAAAGGATCCTACAGCAAAATCCAGGAGACAAGGTGGCAAAAGAAAATTGGATGCTAACCAGACATAAACTGAACATTCTGGATCAAGAAGAATTGGCTTATAAAATAAAACGCTTCAAACAATATTATTTCGAAAGTGCAAATAAACCGGGCAAATGGCTATCGTATAAATTAAAAAAGGATAATGAAAAAGGAATTATCCACTTATTAGAAGATAAGAGCGGGAACATAAGGAATAAAGAGGAAGATAAACTCGAAATAGCACAGGAATACTACGCAACATTGTATAAGGAGGAGGAAACCCCGAAGGGAAAAATTGAACAATACCTGATAGAGGAAAATCTCCCATTGATAGGAGGGGAAGAAAAGGAAATGCTGAACAGGGAGGTCACAATAGGAGACTTAAAGGTAGCAATATCCAAACTCAAAAATAATAAATTACTCAGGCCCAGACAGTTTCCCAGGAGAATTGTACAAAAATTTGGATTTGGAGGAAATATTACTACCAAAATTACTAGAAATATGTAACGAGGCTTTGATGAGATCCAGAATTCCGGACTCGTGGAGGGAGACATATATCACCCTTTTGCCGAAAGAAGGTACTGATGTAAAATCAATAAAAAACTATAGGCCAATTTCCCTTTTAAATACAGACTACAAAATTTTTATGAGTGTGATAGCGGAAAGATTTAAAAAAAATTTTAAACAATTTAATACACACAGACCAAAATGGATTCCTTCCTGGAAGACATATAAGGAACAATTTAAGAACAGTGATCAATGCTCTAGAATACTATGAAACACATTCGGAGAAGCAGATGGCATTGATATTTTTGGATGCTCAGAAAGCATTCAATAATCTGAATTGGGAATCTATGATCCGGCAAATTAAAATGATGAAATTTGGAGAGAACTTTGAGAAAATGATAACCACAATTTATGATAAACAAAGAGCAAACATCCTATTAAACGGAGATATGACAGAAACTTTTCAAATTAGGAAGGGAGTGAGGCAAGGATGCCCGTTGTCACCACTATTGTTTATAATGGCTTTAGAAAGCCTATTAAGAAGAATCAGGAACAATAATGAAATAAGAGGATTAAAAATTAGGAAAGAGATTTATAAAATACAGGTGTTCGCTGATGTTGTCGCTTTAATTGTGGAGGAACCATTAGAGATGGGGAAAAATTTTTTGAAAACATTGGATAGTTATGGAGAGGTATCCGGATTTAAATTGAACAAAACAAAAATTAAAATGTTAACCAAAAATTTGTCAGAGGACCAAAAGAAAACATTAGAAGAAACCCTAGGCTTGCAAATAGTAAAAAAAATAAAATATTTAGGCATCTGGATAACGACAAGATGCTCGACCCTAAAATAAAATAATTACAAGCCCTTAATTAATAAAGTTAAACAAGATTTGGAAAGGTGGGGGAAATTACAATTATCACTCTTAGGCAGGATAACCTCAATAAAGATGAGCGTCCTGCCTAAACTACTATATCTGTTCCAAACTATCCCAGTCAACCTAGATAAAAAAAATTTCTTAGAATTGAATAGCATTACCAGGAAATTCATCTGGGGAGGGAAAAAACGAGGATCACCTTACAAACATTACAGGATAAAAGGAATAGGGGCAGCTTTAGATTCCCAGCGTGGGAAGTGTATCACAAAGCAGCAAACCTGGTATAGTTAAGGGAATGGGCCACCTTAGATAATAAAAGAATCCTGACACTAGAAGGACATGATTTGCAGAAAGGCTGGCACGCCCATCTATGGGATAAGTGCCAAAGGACAAGGATATATTTCCACAGGCACAAAACAAGAGATGCATTAATGCAGACCTGGAAAGAAATCAGACAAGTGCATTATACGAAGGTCCCGAAATGGATATCCATAATGAAGGCTATGATATATCCTAATATGTTAGGGATGGAAAAAATGTTTAGATATGAAGATATTCTTGATAGTGGCAGGAACCTTAAAACAAATGAAGCCTTGAAGGAGCAAGGCATTCAAATTGATTGGTGGCCTTACTTACTAATTAAGTCAAGATACCAGAAAGATAAGAAGGAATTTGGCATAGAATTAGGAACTAACGGATTAGATAAGATTTGGATGGGTACAGAAAACAAATTATTAGCCAAATTATATACGTATCTGCTCGAATACCAAAGGTAGTCAAAAAACAGATGATTGCATGGGAAAAAAACATTGGACGTAGTATAGATGATTGGGAAACAATATGGAATTGCAATCTTAAATTGACAGGAGCGGTGGCATACAAAGAGAACCAGTATAAGATGATATATAGATGGCATTTAGCCCCCACTAGAATAGCGAAAATCTATCCAAACGCGAATCCAAAGTGTTGGAAATGTGACCATTACCAAGGCTCCTTCTATCACATGTGGTGGTCGTGCCCTGAAGCGACGAAATACTGGAAAAAGATACAAAGATGGACCCAAGAAATAATAGAAGAAACAGTTGATTTGGAACCAGAAACTTTTCTCCTGGGAATACCAAAAAGGACCTACCGGAAGGAAAAGAAATATCTAATCATACACATTATCACAGCTACTAGAATAATGTATGCAAAGCACTGGAAAGAGAAAGGACAGCCACCGGAGGAGCACATAATTGCAAAAATATTAGAATGCGCAGAGATGTGTAAATTAACTCACGAAATAAACGAGAAAGAGAATTCAGAATTTTACATGGTGTGTGAAATGTGGTGTAGGTGGATGGAAGTTAAACGTAAAAAGTAAAAGAAGAGTGTGAATATTAAATCAATTAAGTAACCTAAGAGACACCATGTATATAAATCTGTGTAAATGTAAAAACCGCAACTTGAACGAAAATTGTTGAATTGTATAAAATGTAATTTAATAAAAAATTTTAAAAAAGGATATGAAATTAAACTACAAAGGACCTGTATCTTGTCTGAAATACATCGTTCCTATTTTCTGGTACCCAGGGGTTGCAGTTCTATTTCTTTGATTATGTCCCAATGTACAATGAAAGGAAAATTTGCAACTTTCATTTCCAAATTTTGAAAAATGTTTCTAAATATCTCAAAACACACTAAAACCTTAAGTAACAAACCCTTCTAATCCAAAATAAACCAACTGTACTTCAGTTTAACATAAACCCTGATTCACACAATACACTACGGCTTTATGTGACTATTTGGTATTGTCTTAAAGTGGGTTGTAAGTCATAGTTTACGAAATTATATCGGATTTTACAAAGACCATAAAACCTCCTACAACTGAAGGAAGCAAGATTGGGAGAGACGACATTACAGAGTACGATCCTCATGTACGGAAGGGGCTGCAATAAATCTAACTCTCCAGAATACAGTGAATCCTACTGTGCTGCGCTTATAGGTGGGTGAAAAGAAAGCGCAGTTCCAAAACAGCAACGTTCAAGATGTAGTTTTTCTCCACCCAGTGTTTTTTCTCACACTGCCCAAGTCGAAGGGCTCTAGGTCCCACTGGCTTTGCCGTTAGGAAACGATTCGTTTTGCGATTCGACTGTACAAAGAAAACCGCCGCCTTAGATTCTCTACAGTACTCGCTTAACCCAACTGAAGCGTATTCCGCTCCCGACTCGTTACTCTTTTTTTCGTTCTGGGCCCACCTAGTTGCGAAGGCAGCATCGGGGAAAGTGCTGAAGTTGCTATAAATCACTTACCTGCGCGACAGCATTTTGTTCCAGAGATCGCTAAAACGCGCGGCTTTGGCAAAATTCCTGCTTTGGCCCTCTCTGCTGGAGCCGCACTGTAAATCACGGGTGCCGCCTGTCACCGACCACGCCTGGAACAGGAACTTGGCTGTGCCGGCTAGACTGGCTCAGACTTTCCCATTCTTCAACAAGGTTTCTTGCTCTTCCCTCCTAGCAGATATATTGACGTGCCCCTTTCCTTAAAGGGAGTTGCGCTTGGTTCTTACTTGAATTTAGAACTCCAGCTTTTGATTTCATTGATCAACTGCCTAATAATCTTTGATCAGGTGGAAAATCACTACGGGGAGGGGAATAGCTCTTTTCCATCAGTCGTGCTTCAGCTATACAAGCCTTGGGGGGAGCTGTCGTCTCTGATTACTGGGTTCGGTTTCCTTTTTGCCGACCACTAGTCTTAAAATCTCTCTCTCTCTCTCTCTCTCTCTCATACACACACACACAACATCACTAAGTAGATAAAGTGAAGCTAGAAGTAAGCTAGGAAGAGGAGGAAAAAACAGTTCTATAAGACTTAAGAGCAATAATAAGAGCGTAAGCAATCTAACACAAAGGATGGAAAAGAAAGAGATTGGAGGAGCAGGAGGCAGGTTTTTTGTTTCATTCCCAAACTTGTGGGAGTTACTGGAAGATCAGAGAAAGAAAGTCTCAGAAAGATTCAAGAATGAACTGAGACACATTTTAGGGGAATCTACAACACTGACATAAATGGCACAATAGGAGAGTCCTACACTCACCATATGTCCAGCAGTGAGCAAGCCAAGAAGAATTTCAGGTGCTGGCAAATGGCCAAGCAATGGCCAAAGAGAAGAACTTCTATGCCTTGGGGAGAATTACAAAGGTTAGGGGTTAAAATTGGTTCTCCATCAATAGGGACCATGAGTGAAAGTTGTCATAGCAAGGGCAATGAGAAAGTCCAAAAAGAAACTCAGAGGAGCTAATGGCAACGATGGCCTTAACTGATCCTCAAGTGAGTCTAACACTTGAAATCAGGTGACAGCAACAAATGGGGTGGGTATAGACATAGTGATCTACATCTGACAGGACTTTTGCTGCTCAAGGGAATCAATAGTTGTATTAAAGTATTTAACCATATCACAGCTAAATGGTAGTTTATGTAAAATTGTTGTGTAAAGGTATCAACCTCCTGATCAGTCCTGTCAGAAGCAGCACAGTTAATAATACAAATTAAGGTTAGTTATATTAATTAAAATTAAGGCAGTAACCCCTGATTGGACTGATAGTTTCCTATCTATGTTTGAGCTCAAAGTTTGGCAATTTGGTTGCAAATGTTTCATCACCATTCAAGGAGACATAGTCAGTGCATTTTGAACTCTGCTTCTCTTTCAGAACACAGGTCTTTAAATACCATTTTGTGAGATGCAAATTAGTCTGAATGTTGTTTGTTTGGATATTTCTGAGTCATGGTCTGATTTCGGACTGTTCAATTGGCTGGCTGTTGTTACTGGGTTGTAGTTAAGTACTGTCTGTGATGCAGATTAGGACTAGAGTTGTTATCTGGGTGGTTCTGATCTGGTTTCGGCTTGTTTGATAGTTTGAGTGGCTGGCTGTTGTTATTGAGACGTAGTCTGTTTTTTGTGAGCCAATGGGTTATAATTTTGTTGCTGCGTAGTGGGGTGCCTGTTTGTTCATTTTAAATACTACCTTCGGGATCGTGGTTGATGCAGTTCTTTCATTCTCAGTGATTGATAGACTGGATTAATGTCGATGTGTCTGTTTATTGACATTGGTGAAAAGCCAGGCTTCAAGGAATTCTCTTTCTCTCTTTGATTTCAACTGGATTACAACTGTGGTCCCGGTTAAATCAAATTTGTGACCTTCTGAATCTTCATGGACTGATATGAGAGATAATGGGTCATGTCTTTTGATAGCCAGGAAGTGTTCATACAAAGGTTGATAGCTTTCTTCCTATTTGTCCAACATAGTTCTTTTTGCTGCACTGGATTTGGTATATGATGCCTGATCTTTGGTTTGTTTCTGTCTGCCCTTTCAGTTTTGACAGGGTCCGTCTGAGAGTTGAGGTTGGTTTGTAGACTACTACGAGGTCATGTTGGCATAGTCTTGCTGTCATTTCTGAGACATTCGGTATGTAGGGGATTGTGATTCATCTGGTTATTGTTGTTCCTGTTGTAGTTATTGTATTGCTTTGGGGTGTCTGTATGGTTTGCATGTAGGCATCTCTGGATGAAGTTTCATGGGTATCTGTTTCTCTCGAAGACTTTGTATAGGTGTTTTTGTTCTGTTGATTTGGCCTCTGTGGTGTTAAATGGGATTCCCCTCTCCCAAACAGTGTTCTGACACAGCTTTGCTTATGGCATTTTGAGTGGTTGCTGTGGAAGTTGAGAATTTGATCTGTATGTGTTGCCTTCCTGTACACAGGTGTTAGAAGTTGGCCATTGGTGGTTCTAGTTACAAGGACATCCAGAAATGGTAGTTTGTTGTCATTCTCAGTTTCTATTGTAAATTGGATATCCATGAAGATGTTGTTGATTATCTGGTAGGTTTAGTCAACCTGATTGCGCTTGATTATCACAAAAGTGTCATCGATGTAGTGTACCCATAGCTTGGGGTTTATCTGTGAAAGTACAATTTCCATCTTTTGCATGATAACTTCTGCGACTAGGCCAGATATAGGAGATCCTTCAGTTGTTCATAGATCTCTCTGTCAAATTTGAAGTAGGCGGTCAAGCATAGTTGGAGGAGTTCGCATATGCTTTCTGTTGTGAGTGGTTCTCTTGGTGGCTGTGCCTTGTCCAGTAGTTCTTTGATTAAGTCAATTGCTAGTTTCAGATCTACCAATGTGAATAATGAAGTAACATTGAATGATATAGTTTTGTCTTTATCAATGTGTAGGTGTTTGAGCTTGTCCAGGAATTGTGTGGCGTTGTTTATGGAGTATTGGGAATCACCAATTAGGTACTTTAGGTATTTCCACATATCTTTCACAAGGTTGTAAGTGGGCATGCCAGGGAGTGAGACAATTTATTTGAGTGGGGTGTTTCCTTTGTGCACTTTTGGAAGTCCATAAAACTGAGCTATGTTTGAGTCGATTGCTTTCATTCTCTGATATTCTTCTTTGGTGATTTGATTTGATTTGATTTGATTCTTGCAACTTTTTAAGGGTTTTGTTGATCTTGTTGGTCAACTTCACAGATCGGTTGGTCTTGATGTGCCTATAGGTGGATGTATCCTGTGGGAGTTGCTTGACTACTGTATGTAGTCAGCCTTGTCTACCATGTTTCCCCAAAAATAAGACCCTGTCTTATATTTTTTTGAACCCTGAAATAAGCGCTTGGCCTTATTGCCATGCGCTCAAAAGCCTGATAGGGCTTATTATCAGGGAGTGTCTTATTTTGGAGAAAACAGAGTAGTAAGACTGTCATTCAACCTTTGTTGACTGGTAGGATGACAGTATTGTTATCAGTTTTGAGGGACTTCATTGCCTGTTTGTAAAGATGCTGGAGTTTTGTTTACGTCTCAGCATCGGGACAACGGTCTGATGTATTTGTTGTTGGGCTTCTTCATTGAAGTCTTTTGATTTTAAGGCGTTTTCTAGGCTTGCTAGGAATTCTGTGTTTGATGCATCTTTGTGGTTGAAGTTGAGACCCTTTATCAGGACTTGTTGTTCCTCATGTTTGAGTTGTTGGTTGGATAGGTTCTTGATCCAAATTTGTTCATTGTTGTGGGAGTTGTTAGCTGTTAGTCTGGATAGCTTGCTTTGCAGGGCAGTGTGCTTCTTTTCTCTTGTATTTGTTGTTCTGTATTTGATTGCTGCATTCACATGTTGCATAAGTTGTGCTCCAATGGTAGTGTTGCATAAGAGCTTTTGCTCAGTGAAGTATTTTATGTATTTGTTGAGACGGTTGTGAGCGTCTGTTATCATCAGTCAGATCATGCATTTACCATTCTGTCCTGCTGTTGTCCATGCTGCTGGATGATTGATTGGAAGTCTGTAGTTAATGCTTTGAGAAAGTATGTTTTGTCGTAGGCATTCGTGAAGGAATAGTTGCTAGCATGTGGAAGCTTCTCTGCCAGTGAAGGTCTCCCAATGACGAGCGGCGTTAAGCATTGGATGCCCAAAGGTGGTTGAAATGTGTTTAAATATTAGTAGCTTGGGTTGATAGGCTGTTGGTTTGAGCTCAGCAATTTGGTTGCAAACGTTTCATCACCATTCAAGGAGACATAGTCAGTGCATTTTGAACTGTGCTCCTCTTTCAGAACACAGGTCTTTAAATACCTTTTTATGAGATGCAAATTAGTCTGAATGTCGTTTGTTCGGATATTTTTGAGTCATGGTCTGATTTCGGACTGTTTGATTGGCTGGCTGTTGTTGCTTGGCTGCAGTTAAGTACTGTCTGTGTGATGCAGATTAGGATTAGAGTTGTTATCTGAGTGCTTCTGAGTCATGGACATGACCATGGACCATGTTCAGACCATGACTCAGAAGCACCCAGATAACAACTTTAATCCTAACCTGGCATATTATGGTGGTGGGTTAATTTGCAAACCTCTTCTACAATAGTTTACAAGCTGCTATGACAACCTCTACACTGAGCATCAGTTTTGATTATTTCCCTGACCCATGCCCCATTTTGATGCTGCGAAGTAAAAACTGCTTATAGTTGTCCTAAATACAGGAATCTTTTGAAAGAACATCTACTACAGAATTGAAAGGGATTGTCTGAAAGAGGATTAGAGTAGAACGATTTACGGTAAAGATAAGCAGTCTGGTTTCCCTCCAGATGTTTTGTACTAACCCACATTTTTAAACTGCTTGGAACTGATCAGAATTGAACTCCAAAGCATCTAGATATCCTAGGTGCCCGTCCCCACGCTTAAAGATCTCCGTACGAAAAATGAGCTGCTCCATGAAATGGTGTTCTCCGCGCAGCCCAAAGCCTGCCTGAGTCATTGTTTAGGCAGCCTCAGGACATCATTTCCTAGAAAGATGAGGTAATCAGTCGGAAGATGAAAGGGGGGGGAGGCTGTGTCAAGTGGCGTTTCTGATTGGCCGAGACTATATGCTGGACTATAAATACAAGGTCTAGACTAGAGGAAGTTATCTAGGCAGTGAGTGGTACCGGCGCTCTTTACGCGGTTTTTGCTTTGTTCTCGGTGCCCGAGGGAATGCTGGCTGCCTGACTGTGTCTGTGCCGCCAACCCCGCGCCCGGGACGCGAATGAAGAAACTTCTTCTATTGCTCTTCAACTATCGGGGACTCGCGAGACGGGGGGGACGCAAGGGAAAACGCCGCCGAAAATGGCCTCCTTCCATATCCGAGCCGCGCGGCCTGAGGACTGCGCTGATATTCTGCGCCTCATAA